GAGCAGGCTTGAGAAGTGCAGTGCAGCTCCTCCTGCATTGGCAGCTGGTGCCTGTGCCCTGCAGGCTGCCGCCCTCGAAGAGTTACTTTTGGCATCTTGGGGAGAGCATTTGGTTCCTTTCCTTCAGCCTCCAAGGGAGCAAAGGACTTCAAAGGAAGGTGGCAGTGGGACACTGCTCCTCCTATAGCTGGTGGGGAGCCATGGTAACAAAACAGTGCAGTGTTGCAGGGAGATGATGGACTAGGGTTGCCCAGCAGTGCTCTGCCAAAGGCAGAACCTCCCGCTTTGCTCTTGCAGCCCCTCTCTTACTTTGAACAGCATCAGTTCTCTCTGGTGGCTTCCATGCAGGCACTTTTCAGTGCGATGGTGTCCTTCACAACACCAGAACTGCTGTCCTTAAATGGCCCTAAGAGAGACAATGTGGTGAAGCTGCAGCCTTGTGCACTGGGCAGCTCCTTGGCAGCTCCTTGGCTCCTGCTGTGTGGCCTTGCTAAAGGAGCAAGGTGGAAGGGAGAGGCCATCCAGCAGCCTCAGACTTTCTCCTTTCATAAGCTGGCTTTAGGCAAGCTTGGCAAAGTAGGATCCCTGTCGGGCTGGGAGTGTGGAGGAGGTTTTGGGGCAGTTGGGGTTGAGCTCTTTGGCTAAAGATCTGGATCAAACTTCTCTGCTCTCCAACTCTTCTGCATCTGGAATAAGTTTTTAAATGGCTTCTGCATTCTTCCTCAGTTCTTAGTTATTTAAAACACAAGAATAAGGTGTGAATTATTTCAGGCCTTGCATCTAAAATGTGACCTGTTTTGCTAATTTTGGATTAAAAAAATATTCTTTGAGGCCTGCTGTCCTTATTCTTGTCATTGTCTGAGCATTTTTCCTTTGGAGTATGTGCATGTACCTGACAATGCAAAGGCTCCATTCCACTTGTGCTTACCAAAGCAGAAGGCTGTGGTAATTTTCTCCTTGGAGAAGGCTGCATCTCCTGGAAAGGTTTTGCACTAGTTGGTTTTTATTTTACTTTTCCTAAGTTGGAGTTTGTCAAGATGGTCAATAAAATGAATATTCCTGGTTCCCTGCTCTGCAGGGTGAGCTGAATTCTTCTTGCTCCAGCTTTCAGCAGCAGCAAAGAGAGTGCTCAGGGCAGAGGGGTGTTCAGTGGTGTCTCAGAGCTGCTGTCATCCCTAGGACCCTCACAAAGCATAGTTTCAGACAACCTGCTTGTTTTCTGAACCAAACTGCCTGTGTGAGGCTCAATAAAGTACAGACACTTGTTTCTCACTGAGGCCCCTTCAGCAGAGTGAAGAGAGGCTGGAGGAGGAATGACACAAGAGGCTGCCAGCTGTTACCTTCCCAGAGATGGAGCTGTGTTTCAGGCAGAGCATGCCAGAACATGCAGGTGGTGGTCCATGTGTGCTGCCTTGTATTACAGTGCTTTGTGTTTGACCTGGGAGGTTTGCCATGGGGATGGGGTTGTGAATGATTCATGTTGGACATAGCGATATGTTTCTCAGGCTTGTTGTGAAGCACAAGCTTCTCGGTGACAACATGGGCTTCAGGGAAGGAGATGACACTTGCTTTTGTCTGAGTAGCACCAGCAGAGGAGTGTGAAGCTGAGGGGAGTCCACACTTCGCATTCAGCCACCCTGCAGCTTTGCCATATGTTCTTGGCTACTCCGGCTTGCCTGCAGCTTCCTTGTTCTTCCCAGAATGTGCCTGCCAGCACTAGCAGGTTCAGCACCAACTTCCATCAAGTGCTAGACCAAAGGAAGCCTCCACTGGAGTCAAGGCTTGTCTTGCTCCTCTGGGACCTGGAGGGAGATGTGTAGATCTCATCTAAGGTGGGAGCTTGACAAGGTGGGAGGCAATGCTGGGGTGGTTAAAGGTGCTTGAAGTGGAGATACTGCCCTGCTGCCACCTGAGGCTCAACAGTTAGAGCATCTGCCTCCTGTAGGAGCTTCACTAGCTTTTAATCTCCTGCCTGGTTTCTCTGGTGTCCGTACACAAATCTCTCCTTCCAGCAGCTGTAAAGCACTCCAGAACCCACTGAGTGTTTTCATATGAAGTGGACAAGTCTGGCCAGAGACTCCTGTGTGGTTTCTTACTAGAATTAGCAAATGCTGCCTCCCTCAGTTCCATTGAGGCAGAGAGATGGGGAGAAGAGCAACACTAGTTCGAACAATTGTTGGTCTTGGCAGACAGTCAGAACTGGTGTACAAGCAGGTAATTGGGGTGGGGGGAGCAAGATTTGGAGGATCCAGTGTTGGATCCTGCTGTTTGTGAGTCTAACCTGAAGTGCTCTTTGCTCACTGTGCTGTCTTCACACCCCTGCTTGGTCAGGTGCAGGATGGGCTCTTGCCTTGCAGGACTGTCCCTACCCTGTGTTTAGGTATGGAGAAGGGTGAGCAGCTTTTCCTCTTCTACAGGTATGTTCTGCTCTTGGTGTATTTTGCGATGTGCAGAAATCAAGGATTTCTGGGATAAGGCCTTGGAGTAGCAGGAATATCACTTCTGTGCCAGACTGAGGAAGGCCTTTTGTGCCCCAAAATTTGTCCAGTTTTGGACACACATTTTCATTCCTTCTTCCTGTGTCTTCTATAGTCTATAGTCTCAGACCTCGTTCCAAGCTTGTTTTTGTTTCTAGCTGGGAAGCCGGTATCTTCATTAAAGAGGAATGTCAGAAAAAAATAATGTTGAACAGCAGTTGGAAGGCTCAACGTAGGAGGTAGAAGAGCAACACATGGGCTCACTGAGCTAAGCAGGGATGAGCACAGTATAAAAATGGCAAGGTGGTAGTAGTGAGGGAGAGAGAGGGTGGAGAACAGCACAGAACAAGCAAGAAAACATGCAGTAACTTAAAATAAATGCAAGGAAGCCATCTCAAGCCTAAGAGATGGGAGAAAGGGATGGAATCATCTCCCTGCTGCTTTTGTGCCTCCAGTTTTGCCCTGTCTGCTGGTCGGTGTTTGTACTTCAGCTCTTTGGGCCCAGCCTGACCCTGTGGCTGCAGCACCACCTCCATGGCTCTGCCTGGTGGGTGCCTGGCTGGGCCCTTGGGCAGCTCCATGTCAAGCTCTGCTGTGCAGCCCCCCTGACCTGAGATGCAGCTTGTACCTTTAGTCCTTCTGTCCTCCTCCAGGTGACTGCCCTTGGGGAACATAGAATCAGAGAATCATGGAAGCAGCCAGGTTGGAAAAGACCTTTAAGGTCACCAAGTCCAACCGTTCCCCAGCACTGCCAAGGCCACCACTAACCCATGGCACTGAGGGCCTCGTCTACACGGCGTGTGAACACTTGCAGGGACAGTGACTCCAGCACTTCCCTGGGCAGCCTGTTCCAATGCCTGAGCACCCTTTGGGGAAGCCGAGTTGTTCCTCATCTCCATCTAAACCTCCCCTGGTGCAGCTTGAGGCTGGTTGCTTTCATCCCATCCCTTGTTCCTTGGGAGCAGAGACCAGCCACTTGAAGAGTTCTCAGGCAGGGGGAGACCCCCATTTCCTGATTTGCAGGTGTCACTTTGTTTCACCTAAACCCTTTCCCTCTACACTAAGGGGTAACGATGTTTGGCAGATGTGTGCAGGGAGTAAAGCAGAGCAGCAGTTGTGAGTTAGGAGGTGGGTGTCTTTCTGCAGCCAGTGGGCCCATTGTGGGGTCACTGCTTTTCTCCATCACATAGTCACCCACCCTCTGCTCAGCACAAACTTCTGTAACACCTCTTGAAAGGGAAGCAAACAGTTAATTGTCCTGATGCATCTCTTCCTCAGTGAGGGTTTGTGGCTCACTTGCAGGAGCTGAGGAGCTGGCCTGGCTGGGAATGGCAGCTGGCCGAGTAGTTTTTTTTTGGAAGGTTTTCCTTTTTTGGAATGCCTGCCCTAAGCTTCCTGCAGTTCCTCATTAAATACCCATCTTGTGATTTGGCAAATAAGCTGATGTTTTCTGGTTTTTATAAGCAAAAATGCTATTACCACTCAGCTTTGTATAATGGTTGCGTTATAGCTCCTGAAGCGCCTTCACTGGGCCTCCACCACTTTCCTAAGTGCGGTGCTGTGGTTGGGTCAAGGGATTTTGGGTGCTTCACAGCCATAAGCTCAGTAGGCTCTGCTCTGCCTGCCCCCCAGCTCTTCCCTCTTCTGTGCTCTTCTCTTTCCACCGCTCCTGAAGGTACCTCCTGCCCCCCAGAGCTGTGCTGCCCTGAGCCACGCACAGGTGGTGGGTACCACCATCACATGCTCCCTGTTGTATCAGGAAATGGAGGTAAAGTTGTTCTGCCTGGTACAACTCAAGGGAGACAGGAAGAGCTTTTGTATAATAGCAATAATAGTAATACCCCCTCACAGTTTAGGAAAGGGAATTATGGATTACTAGGATCACACAAGCTGACACTGTTACAGCCACCACCACGACCTCTGGGATGGCAGAAGAACAGCCAAGGCAGGGGGAGCACAATACAGTTTGAAATGTGAGGGCATGGTTTTAGGGGAGATGTTAACTTGTCCACAGCTAAATACAGAGGTTTGTGCCTGTTAAACTGAGGGAAAGGGTCTTGGCATGGCAGGGGGTGAAGTTAGCAATGACAGCAACAGGGAGAACTGAGTTTAGCCATGATATTAACAGGGTATAATTGAGACTGAGGTGCGGTGCTGGGGCTGTGTTCCACCTC